ATAATGAAGCTGGGAAGTTGCTATGGAGTCTCTGGAGCTACTCCATGAAAGTTCAGTCCTAGAAAGTGCCAGATGAAGCAGAAATAATTAGCAGTCCTGCATGAACAGGGGTTCCTAGCCCACGAGGAGAGAAATCCAATAATAAAGACCAGCTTGACCCAAAAGAGTATCGCAGACATATGGCTGAGCTCTGCAAATCACACAAGTGTGAATTATCTCCCCTTGTGCAGTGGCAGAGCTGCTGCAGCCCCTGGCAGCAGACATGAGACAGCACTTGGCCAGAGAAGAGCTAGTGCTGTCTTTATCCAGCAATAACCGTCACTCCAATATCCCACACAACTATTTGCTTGCCTTGCTGCGAAACAGGTAAAAATAGAAACCTGGCGTCAAGGAAAGAAATGTCACACGCACCAGGTTTTTCTCTTTGACTAAGCAGGAGAAAGGGACATGCGGCATTTTCAGCTGTTAGCATGGCTTTACAAAGCAGTCTTTCAAAGGAGAGCAAAGCATCACGAGAGGTGTTTGTTGGATAGGCTGGAGTCCCAGAAAGACATGCAGCAGGGACTTAAGCAAAAGCTTTACAGTGCTACAGTAGAGGGAGGAGTGCATGTTTCCCCCTACCACTGCAGCCACCTTGCACAGCCAGCCAACCTACAGTGAGAGGAACTCTGACCACAGGAAGGTTCACCAGTCCCACTTCTGACCGCTCTAAAGGGAGAGGACAAAATCAGTTTTGGCTTGGGTCTGGGCCTGCCTTGTCGCTGCTGCTGCTTACTTTCGCAGCTATCCATGATGATAATCTTGCTATTTTGACTTTGCTCAACACCCCAGTGACATGGGTGCTTGCATGTTGCAGTTTCTATGGTTTTGCATACAAACAGAAAGCTGGGCCTAATTCTGAGTCAGGCCTTGTCGCCTCCCACAGTTCTCCACTGCAACAGGCTGGAAATTATGTAACAGCTTCGCTTCTGGTTTTAAGACATCAAAGCTCTCATTGGATTAAATGAGAAAATACAGTCCACTCGCCACCCCCCACCTACCAGCTCTGCCAGCACAGGCAGTGGACGTCAGGCTGGAGAGGCAACAACTCCAGACATCTGACTTTCTGCATTTGCAGCCCATGGGTGCTGGGAGAGGTTACAGTGCCTGGGAAGGGAGCAGGTCTCTCTGCCTCAGGAGGAGACAGTTTGGAGTTAATGTGCATAAACTGGGCAGTTCTGCTAAAGTGGCTAGCTGTGAAATAGCTAGCATTTCCATTTTACCCTGTGAGTTTCAAGCCCTCAGAGAGTGAAAAGAAACAGTTCATCCTTTCCAAAGGTTTTGTTTCAGGCTGTTTGCAGAATCAGGAAGATAATGCATCAATTTATCAACACTTACTAGTTTTACATTTCAAAAATTTTCTCCACAACCATGAGGGTCAGACCGCAAGAAAATGAAGAGAGCTTATCTGAAAAATCTCACAGCTGCCCCAGAGAAGTCCCAATCACCAATACAACCTGTTCCTCCAAATCCCAGCCTTTTACCTTCCATGGTCATAGGATTCCTCCCTGTTGCTGTTCAGCTGTCCGCCAGACAACTATTCCAGCAGTGATAGCAGATGGTGCCCTGCTGGATTACTGAGCAGAGGTGTGGGTACAAAGTGCCCCTTTTCAGCAGCAGGAAACTATTGGATCGGTTCATGGGCAAAGTCAGTACTGGAAAACATGGAGCATGGAGCCTTGCTTTAAGGCAGATCTGCAGCAAATATTACAAGTCCCAGCTATCTGGCATTTACACTCAGACTCTGATCCAAGGAGATGGCTTGTATATTTAATAGGGTTGCTAGAAGAGCAGATTTATAAACACAAATCTCCTTCAGAATGAAACACGAGTTCCCACCGAAACCCTTACAGAAATTACATTTATCTTTCAAATACAAAACAGACTCATTAACTCTGGTATGATGACAGTTTGGTAGCAGAGAAAATCTGCCTAAACCCCATCCATTTCCTAAACATTCCTTTAGCAACTTCAGGAGCTAAAAACTGATAATTTGCATGAGCGTTGGTGAAAAGGACTTGTAAGTAATCAAGTCAAGTTGATTGCAAAGGTAGATGTGTCTCACTATAAAAGCTGTGCTCCATTTTAGTCTTAAATATTCAGTGGTTAGAAAAATTGTGTGTGTGTCTGTATAAAATATACATAATGTAAGAGCCAGAACTCTTAAAACAATGGAAAATGTGATTTTAAAAATTATTTCAGTGGCTCCTGTTACAAGTGCTGCGGAAAACATTTAAGTAAATTTATCACATCTAAATATTACATGATCCAGTTAGTTGCTCTGATTGCTGCTAGGATATTTAAAACTGCCTGGTTACACATGAGAGCAGATCCTTCAGTGTCCATTTTAATTGAAGACAATAGTAAACTTGGTTCTTGGGATAGCTTTTCAGTGGGCTTTAACAGATGGAGGAGGAAGTCGCTGCCAAAAGATGCACTTCCACTCCCCTCTCCATCCTGGTGACCCACTCCCATCACCTCCCCCATGTCAGAGGTTGTGAGCACAACAAGTCTAAGGAAGTAGCTGAAACTTTATTTTCTCTTTCAAGGTTATTTTTCAGCCAAATCAGCAGCCTGATTCAACTTTGCTCATTTTGGTGGCAGCAATATTGCTGTAAATCAGCTGGCATCAGCAGTGAAACTGAACCCCCAGACAAATGAAATAATGTTGTCAGCCCTTCTTTGGCACATGAATAGTCTTTCCCCACTCCACAGCCTGAGGATTTTTGAGTAAAGACATTCAGGAGGGAGTGGTAACTTACCACTGCCACGCATTGTCAGTCTAGAATCAGAAATAAGTCTGCATCTTAGCTCACAGAGGGGAAAAAAGCACATTTCCTACAATAGCCTTTATCTCACAGTTTGTGTCATGGCTTGCCAGCACCAAGAGTTTTACTTCAGGCTAAGCCTGATGGATGCCAAGTGACTCCTTTTAACACTGAGCAAAAAAAATCCCAGAAATTAAGTTTGAGTCCCAGTGGCTTCAGTGGGAGAACAGCAGCTGCAGGTAAACTAGTACATATACGCTGAGGTATTTGCACAAGTGTGAACAGACAGACTGACAGAAAAACAAACTCAGAGGTGAACACAGCCAAGCCCTTGCACTGCACACTCTCTGAGCAAAGGCCACCACTCTCTCGGCAGTGCTAAGTACCTACATTGTGATTGTGGCCTGTGGCTGAAGTAGCACAGCCCTGCCATTAGGGTGAAAGAGCACAGTTTTTGCTCCTGCTTTTGCAGAAAATAGTGCTGGTGATCATATCCTTCTCACAGGACAAGATCAGATGCCCTTGGCTTGCTAAGAAGGATGCAACACAGATATCCAGTATCCAGCAGTGAGCAGCCTGTAGTCTAAGCAGTCTCTTCAGTCATCAGCTCTACTACTAAGAGATCTAAGGAGTCTCACCTAATGCCACTAGCCCCAGTGTGACCATGACAGGCTTATAGTTTGGCTTATAGACAGGTTTATAGTCTGGAGGAAGAGAAAAACACATCTAAACCCCAGTGCCAGGAGCCATCCGGTCCCCAGCAGTCGTTGGCTCCTCTTGCACAGCAACACGATGCAGCTGTTGGAACCCACCCAGGCCTCTTTCAGTACACTCTGAATTTTCAAAAACAGATAACAGTCATACGTCAGCACCTCACATCCCTTGGGACCATGCTCAAATGCATGCTCTGTTCAGGCTTACGGGTGCATGACGTTGTCCCTGGATATTTTCTGCTTACTCCAGGCTTGCACACCATGCCTAACATGGTAGTACCTGGGTACCTGATCAAGACCTTTCAAGTTTCAATTCGCCACATATATTTGGTTGCAAACTTTCATTTCCCTGTTTTTAAATCAGCAGTAGCAGTAGCAGATTTCCACTTAAACCAAGCGCTTCACGCTACGGGCTCACAGCCTTTCTGCCGGGCTGCCACCAGACCCCACTCACAGTCTAGGAAATGTCCCACTATTCAGCACCAGCAGCCACCTCTTTCCAGTAAATGACTTGTGCAGATAGGGTCTAAAGAAGTGAAACATAACTACCCCTGGGGCAGGAGTTTGCTTCTCACTTGATAGCACAGCGCGGGGGATTTTTTAAAGTCGTGTAATGTAATACTGATAGGAAACAACACTAGTCTTCTTTTTCCCCTTTCTAAGCTACTAGCACGGTATGCAGCAGCATCAGCTGCTTCAGAAAGTACTGAAATTTTGTCCCTCTCTCTTACTCAAAGGGTAGAAAACACTTGTTTTCAGCAGCCTCCTTTTTTTTAACCAACACTGCACTGAACAACTGATGACACAAAAAGCCATCAGTTCTCTCTCAAAATCATCCAACACACTTTCACGTGGTTACATTTGAACCTCTGTCTATCTGGACAGTATCAGTAAAAGGCAATAACACTTATTCACATTTGTGATTGATCAGGTATTTCCTCATCCTTCATCTTTCGCTTTTTCACAGGTTGCATTTTATTTGTGGGACTAAAAGGCAAACAGCACCTAGGTTGATTTGCTGCTGATAGGGACTTCCTTCTCTGTGTCATGTGTGTTTCGCCCCCCGCCCCTCAAACAGACAGCTGTTATCTTTTCTCTTCCCCTTTGCTGGCCCCTGTTGCAGAAAACCTACTCCTGAATTTTCTATACTAGAGAAATTGGGTGAAAAAAACTATGAAAAGGTATCCCATCTTCTTTAAAAAGTTCAAGGGAATTCCTTCTTGACCTTGGCAGGCTACTAGCAGCCTTATTAAGTGCAAAGGAAGATTAGCCTTAATTTAGCACATACACTCGTAAATACGATTACTCCCAAGGCTAGATGGCCCACATGAAAAAAGTCCAGTACCTTTATCATCTTCTGTAGCAAAACAAAAATGAAACTTGCAGGCTACGTGCATGTAAAAAGGGGTCTTAATTTTTTTATAGGCTAAAAAGCTGAAAAGAGAAAACCTCAAAAGAAAGCAAGCAAATCATGTAATACCTGAAAGTAATCTGTGATGAAGGATCCAAGTTCACTCTTCAGCAGCCGTCTGTAGACAGAAGGAATGTAGCCATGAAGTAATAGCCATTGCTCGCCATTTCTTACAAGTATATACACACTTTACTACTAGTCATACCAAAGATATGTGAGTATATGTGAATGTCATTTTGGCCACAGTTGGATTTGTTTTACATTTAGGTATATATTCTACAATGGCCACAAAGGCTATTCTCAAATTATGAAGCAATGAAACAGTTTCCCTGAAGTCTTCTATTTATAAGCCATATACCTAGAACAAGCAAAAAACCACATTTACCCGCTTGAATGCAGAGAAAGTTGGGGACACAATTTAAAGTTATTTAATTTGAAAGTCATCATTTTTTCTGCTTTTTGTTTAAACAAAACCACCTTTGATTTCACTGAAAATAGCATATCTCCCTAATGCTGTACTTACTTTTCTCTTGGAAGTAGAGGTGGGAGGATAAGGAGAGGAGCAATGAAGTAAACACACAAGCAGAAGCTGCGGCTTCGCCATGACTACCGCATTTAACATAAATAAAAAAAAAAAAAGCAGCATATTTTTCAAGAAAGACATTCTAGAAATTTAACAAGAGGCATTTTAAATACATGCAGGCAGAAGCCACTCTGATAAAATCTGATAAAATCTGTTGGATTTTAAATCAGGCTGTGATAAAAGTTTTAAATTCTAATACATATTTATATTTCAGAACTCCAATATAAAAATCAGAATTGTTTTACATCAGAAGCATTAGAATACCAACTCACAAAGTTCAGAGCATTTGCACTTTCAGCTTTCAGTGACTGTGAGCATAAATTCTCTGTACTGTAGCAGTACATTCTGCCTAAAATTTAAAAGGCACCCAACACTTTCCATTGCAAAACATTGCATTTTTTTGCTGTTTTAAGAGTTTTGCTTTTCACCAATATGAAGTATAATCAAGAGTGCTCAAAAATGGCATTTGAATCAGGGACCATCCAGTTCTTAGGCTGGGTTCTTACTAACAAACTACACCACTTTTTCCTAATCTTTGCTGAAAGTCAATTTTGACAGCAATTTTCCTCCCTAACCATTTTGTAACACTTCTACATTTATTTGCATGCCACCATGCCTTTACTTTTTCTCTCTCAGAGTGGTTATAGTCACCCTGCCCATCTCAAAGCGCATTTCTATTTCTATGAGATGGATAAACCAGGTAAGTCTTTGGGGGCCCATTTGCCAGAAGCTCTTCCACCAGCTTCGGCAGAATCCAGGGAGCTCTCCACCAGCTGATTGACAGCCCACAGCAGAACTTCACCTCACGCAGGTAGACCAGCAACCAGAGGTTTACACCCTAGACAGAACCCAAGGGAGGGGTCTCCTCCTAATCACAGCCAGGTCACCTCCTGCTTCCTGAAATCCCATCTCCTGACAGCATTTCTTATATTTCCTCTTGCTGTGACAACAGACTTTCAGAACAGTTGGGGAAAAAAAAATCCAGTGAGATGATATCAAATCACAGCAAGATAAAAATCTGGTGGCAGCAATCCAGAGCAAAATGTTACCACCTGCTCATCTCCTGGTCCTGTCATTACTGTCCTACTTTAAAACTCTCCTGCATTTCCCACTGTCAAATAACTAAGTGCTGTGCAGAATCTGTGAGTCTCTTAAAGCACTGCATTTGATAATTTCCACCATCAGCAAAAGCATACACAGTTCACAAAGAATTTCCTGTTCTTTGCCTGGCTCTCAACAGTCTAGATCCACTTCAGTAACCAACATGCAGAGAGCACAGTCCAGCCACTGGGGCCAAGCCCAGGCAACACAGCTATTCTGCCCAGTGTGCTGCCTCCCTGCAAGGGTAGGAAGGAGCACCTGCTTGCACTGGGGAGGGGAAACAGGTTGCATCCACCATGGCAAGCAACAGCCTGGCAGATGAGTCACAAAACCCAAAGCCAGTCCCCAACTCGGCCAACAGGCTGTGGGTTAGGGTATTTCCAAAGTCTTACGACATTTGTTTTTCTTTTCATGTACAGAAATACTTATCCCATGGAGAATTATGACTGCTCCAAGTACTTAAACCTAACTTGAGGACTTCTGACCTGAGCACACTAAAATATGATTAAAGCAGGAGACACTGCCCTCATTCAGCTCTCAGAACGAATTATATTAAACTTTCACCTTTGCGACCAGACCAAGTAGGACAGAGTCTTGTGCCCTGCAAGCTGCATTTAGGGAAAGGGGTAGTTTAGACTGCTACTTAGTACATGCTTAGCCCAAATTGCCATTTGAATCTTGGCGCTCAGGAAAAATGCAATAGGAATAGGGAGGGCGTAAAAAAAGAGAAGCAGAGACCTATATGACAGCATTCATGATGAATTACTATGGTTGTAGTGGGAAAGAGACAGGGAAGAGGAACTACATCTATGAGCTCTGACAATACTCCTCTTAGCGGCACTTGGAAGCAAGACATGAATAAATTGTTCTTTATCTACTCTACAGTCCTATCTATTGCTAACCAAACTTTCCAAATAATCAGAATGAAACCACAGATAATCATGAAACCTGCTTAAAAAAAATGATACTTTTAATCATCACTAGTATCAGTGTTAGAAAACGCTTGTTAGACTTTTAGGTTTTTTATCTTTAGGGTTCGTATTTTCAGGTCTTGCTCTGCAATTATCATGTGAACATTAAGCTTTTAAATGAAATGCTGTGTTTTGCTTTCATTTTAAACACTCCACGGTTCTGAGAAGCTTGGGTTTAGAAAAGAGATGTTACTACCATCACAAATGCCTGAAAAAAATGTGTAAAAAACAGCCAGAAGAGGTAAACTCCCTAGGACGGGACAAAATCCTTATAAACCAAGTCAATATACATCCTGTCCTTGTCAAAGCTACACATCCACACAAGTCAGAGAAACATTATCCAAGTGCCCCATGCCATTCACTCCACCCAATAGCAAAATAGAAGTAAGTTAGCCTGAAATTCCAAAGCTGTGCTTAAATTTGCTTTGATCCCTGCTCCTCCTACCAATATCCTCTAACCGTGGTTCTGCAGGGGAACAAAGCCAAGCAAACACCAAACAAGCAGCAACAAAAATCCCTTTTCATGCTTTTCAGCAACCTACCTGATATTTTCATTGAGGGTGTAAAGTTCATTGTTCTGCAAGCCTCCCCCTTTGAACACATTTATCACTGCTGTTTGAACACTGCCAAAAAAGAAATGAGACAGTACAACATCCATAAATAATAGCCACCAGTACGATTTAACACAGAGTGCAATGTCAGCTAGCTGCCAAAAGCTGAGCAGTTATAATGGGGTGGAGAGGTTAATTGCACTTAAATACTTCCACTCCTTCTCCCCTGGAGATCATCACTCTTATTTACCTACATCTCTCATGGGAGATAGAGCAGAACCAACCTCAAGTTGTGCCTAGAGTAAGTGAGGGAAAGGTGTTACAGGGACACTGTTCACAAAGAACATGTTCACACCAGATATATCTTTAACACGACTGTTTAGGGGATCTCTGCTGTGTGTTGCAGGCTACTTGCTATGAGGAGACATAGATTTTTTGCAATATCTGCCAAACACATCACATTGCATTATCCAGTGATGTTAGCAGGAACCACCCAATCTGCAGCATCTAGCAGAACCCTGGCTGTGCTGGAAGACATTATGCAGCCAGCATCACCTCAGCCAGACTCAACTTTAAGCCCTGTTAATGCTTGAAAGATGCTGTTGGAGGATCTTCTAAATCTCACCAGCACAGTGGAAGTCATAAAGTCACAGCACACAAGATGGTTTAGCAGGTCTAAAGGCTTGCCATGGCTAACAAGTGGAGGTGTCATTCCCTTAATGGGCATTCCCTCCAGTTACAGCATTTGCATGCTTCACAGACCTCAGCTCACTCTCCTGGCACAAATCTGTGATGTTTTCGCTGGGCTACTTTTGTGCAACATTAGTAAGCTGAGCTAGGTCAGCAAGAGAGTGGAGTGCAGAGCTGGTGCAAGGTGGCAGAAGGGAAGGTGGGAACACCCACTTTTGGTGGCAGCAGACCATTAGATCAGATCAGGACATCTCACTCTTCACCCTAGACATTGTTTTTCCAGTTGCCATTGCTGCATGACACACACTGCAGACAGGATTTGGCTGTCAATAGGAAATGCTGGTAGAAGCCACAAGCTTAGCAGTTGTCAGAGGAACTTGACTGTGGTAAAAGCTTCATAATATGCAAATAAATGCCTGTTGTGCATTAAGAAACTGACCTTTACTACAGTACCAGGAATGTGTTTTCCTAAACGGTACTTAAAAGATGAAACTCTTAACAAAGAGCAGTTCTGTTTTACTTCAAGACAGTACCTCTGAACAACATTGGCCAAAAACAAGGCTGAAATCTACTAGATCTAATTTTTTCACCTCCATGGAGGCTTTCAATGCCAGCAAAGCTTGGGCACACCAAAAATTCATGCATGCTTATAAGTAGATGAGCTTAGCCATAAATGGGCTGAAGCACAAAGATCAGACACACACAGCCATTATTGCAGGGCTGCTGCAGGGCAAGAGCTCAGCCCAGGTGGGTCCTGCTCACCTGTTCCAGGCAGAGTTGGAGCTGAGCTGCAGAGCCTGCCGGGCTGCCTGGAACCGCGGCAGATCACTGAGGACAGGGGAGCTCATGAAGCGAGGTCGGGGCCTTCTGAATGAACCCATCTTGTGGAACTGGAGAGCAAAGGATGGAGCTATGGTGAACCCTCCAGTCATAGGGTCAGGTGGAGTAGAGCAAGGCCGTCAGAAAGTCTCTTCTCTTGAAGGTCCAAGCGTCAATCTCAGTGATGTCAACAAGTCTTCAAACCAAAGGACTCAGCCTGCAGCAAAAGCAAAGGGTCAGCCTTGGACTAGCAGTTATCCAGCATCAGGTTGTGACATTGACACACACTGCAAGACAATGAAGGAATTGAAGCAGTCCTGCAAAGTGAAGAGAAAGGAAAAGAGCAAGACAGAGAAAGGAGGGCTGAAAATATCCTATCCCATTAACAGCAAATTCGGGCAAATCTTCTGGAGTTCTTCAACAGCAGCCGTCCTTCCCATCTTGCCCCTTACACAATGACCGAACACAGCCAGCCAGAAATACAAGCATGGTCTCTCTTGCCATTTCAATTAGCAGAGATGCAAGAACAGAGGCGTCTAAACTCTTCTGCCAGAGGCACTTTACAAATACCTTTAAATACAGTTAGCCATTCAGCCTGTATATAATAGTAGAAACTGGAGAAAGATGAAAGAAAACTATTTCACCAGAAAGGAACAAAAGATGAACAATGGAAGAAAAGATGAACCGACAAACACAATGCTTTTTTTTTGCGAAGTGTTGTGCAAGGGAATAAACCCACTTGTTATCAGTCCATTACAAAAAGGATACAATAGGGAGCTTCTGCAAAAGAGGTCTGACAACCAGATATTTTGAGAGTAAGCAGGACTTCTATGTTTGTTTTTTTTTCTACGGAATGAGAAGTAATTGCTAGGCCAAATACGAAATGCCTGTATTTTCCACTCTGATCATCATCTCCATGTAGATAATATGTAGCCCAAAGTAAACCACAGAAATAGAAGAAGTTAGCTAGGATAAAAACCACAAAAAAAACTTTGGCAAAGCTTCTGTACTTCGAAATCTTCCCACTTCAGATGAATACAAGCAGTAGATGTAGTCAGCAGTTTGGAGAACAGAGATGTGGGAGAAAGGAGAGAGGAGGGAAAAAAAAAATACAGACAAAGAAGTTGTGTAACTGAACTGCACATGAACAATGCAAAGCAAAATCTTCTCTTTTCCACTACATCTTGAGGTGAAAAGAGAGACGATCTGCCAAAGAAATGTTGTGTATCTGCAAGTGCTTCTAATTTGACTAGTGTTCAGCTTCAGGAAACTCTTTCCACTCCCCAAACCATAATCAACTCTTTTACATGTAAGAGAATAGCTTTCTTCCCACCCAGCGAGCCCCATTTCATGCTGAGATCACTTTGCCAGCCCACCTCTGCATGGCCTTGTCAGATTCTGATCAAACACCATGAAGCCTTGCAAGCCCTTGCTGTGCCATGGACACCATGTGCCCGGCCACCAAGAAAGTTAAAGGAGAAAATGCAGAAAAAACACCTCAGTTTTTAGGCACTGAAACACACAGTATTATTATTCTTGGTGCTATTCAAGAAATAAATACTGGTTTTATTCCTCCACAAGCTAAATAGAGTTTGCACAGATATTTGTGGAGCTGGAACATGGCTACAAGTGCAACTTTTTTCTGTCTTTAGACAACTCCTGGCTGTCTTTAGAGATGACAAAGCCCAGACAGTCTTTTATGCCGTGAGCTTAGCCTTGACTGTTGTTGCTTGAAAGGGCAGCAATGTGTTGATTCTATGGCTGCTCTGTTCCAATTTAAAAAAAAAAAATCAAGTCATAACTTTTAGAAATTAAGAATAAATATAAACTAGTACAGCAAAATCAGCAGGGTCTTCTGTGCGCATTTTGAAATAACAGTTCAATTGACATTGCCCACACATTTTCAATCTGCCAGCAATTTCTCTATTGGCAATTGTAACCACATCAGAAATCATCAGAAGAAAAAAGCTACAGCACCTTGGAGAGCCAAGGGTAGGCTTTTCTCACAACATACCAAAAGGTAACTGGGAGGCAAAGCATAACAGATGTTTCTGTTTCAAAAAAAGTGCTTGTGCCAATGTTTGTCATCTCCAAGTTCCAAAGCTGACAGCATGAGGAGCTGAATGAGTGACAGCTCACCTCTCCCAGCAGTGCAGTAAAATTTCTAGCTTAACAAATTTAACACAGGGAAAACAGCATGTATTTTTCAGAGCTATAAAATGCAATGTGTTACTTTAGATCAGTTGTAGGTGTTTAACAGGGCTAGAAAGCAGTGATTAAGATGCCTGTGCTAGCCCACAAGCCTCCTCCTATCACTATTCCAGGTGCTGTAAGTGCATACAAGTATCTTTCTCCCCAGCAATGAAATAATTTTATAAAGCTGCATTTATATAATTTGAGTTAGATTAAATTGCAAGAGGAAAGCTTATATTCGGGAATGTAAATTGGGAGAACAACCTCTGTGCCTTAATATACACATATTTAAAGTTTGTGTAGGAAATTCTTTGGCCCATTCTGTGCAAGCAATAAAACACCACAATCAGGAAGGTCTCTCCTGAGCTTGGGCTATGGATTTATGAGACTGATTCCACAACCGCAGAACTGTGGCATTACACGGGGCCCCACGACAAATTTCCTGAATACTTCTTACCAAGGGAATGTGCTTGTTTCTGCTCATGGAAACATACATGTTGTTTTCCTTAATCTCTGTTGAAGTCACCCGGATAGATAGTAACAAGCTCTTGTCTGCAAAGAGCAGATAAGACACCCCTGTTCCCCCAACCCCACTCTGCAATCCCGTGTTACTGTCAAGTCAACCTTACTTCAGGTTATCATCAGGAATTTAAGACAAGATCTTCAGCTTTAGGACCAGATTCAGAGTCTTATTTTCATTTCTTCAAGATTCAAAGATACAAATCCCTCCTATCTTATCTAAACTGGTAACTGTTAAATGGCAGGCACACCAAACTGTTACTCTGAAGGCAGGCTGGCCACCAAATGGTATCCAAACATAACTGACCCTCATGTTATCAGAACTGGAAATGTCAAAGTCTGTGAGAACAACCATCCTCTCCCCATGCCCACAGCCTTTTTAAACTATTTTCAGAGTTTCATAAAGCTTGAAGTAACAGAGTGTTTACTAAGAAAACAAACTTTTGGTACAATTAATTTGCAGATCCTGTGCACCTGAAGGTACAATGAAACACCCAGACCCAACCAAACCCTTCCATCCGACCAGATTTTCCTTCCACAGCAATTAGTTTCCACTGAAAGTTTTCCCCAAAGCAAGGCAGCCCTGTAAATGCTGCTTCATTTTCATAGGGAAGCTGCATTAGCAGTTTGTTGGCAATGTCCATGGTATGCATTCTGCAGTGTGCAATTTTTTGGCTTTTTACTGAAAGAAACTACCCTTGTGGCAAGAAAGGCATTAACATAGTTATAGGTTAGTAAGAAGCCCTCATGGTATTCAGGCTATTTTAGCTATTGGGAATGAACAGTATTTAGCAGAATGCTGAGTACAGCAAGAAACAAATTTCCTCTTCGGCTTGCTGTGAAAAGTCTCATAGAATTACACAGAAATATTCAGAAACAGATATTGACTTCTTAGAGGCCTTCAGTCCAAACTCCCTCACATCTACAGTCTCCTCTTCCTAAGATGAAAGTGTTTTAGAAGACTACAAAATAAAACCTACTTCTAATAATCACAGTCCTATTATTTATCAATCACAGAACTAGAAAAATCTTTACAGAGAAGCAATTATTATTTCCCCCCTTTTTTACAGAGTGGAGACACCAGGGTGCTGCACGTTCTAGCTACCAGGCAACACTCTCACCATTGATTATAAAAGGCATGAAGACCTGGAGACTAAAGTGGAGCAACTGCATAAAAGATACAGTCACACCAAGATAATCTCTCACTGCCACTGCTCCAGCTTCTGGGGCAATGCTTTACAAGGCATCAGGGCATTTCAAACTGCTTGCTAGCTTATATATCTCTCCTCATCTTGCTTAATGATCCTGCACATCTTTTTTGGCAAGAAGCTTGTCACTTACGTCAAAGAGATAGGTATTGCTCTTCCTTCCATTCCAGCTGTCCTACCCCCTGGTCTTTTTTGTTACGTTTCTATCCTTGATTACCACCTCAAAACCCAGCTATCAAACCATCCAGATCTCTAACAACAGAGATATGTCATCTGTGTAAAACCCAGGTCTTCGAGTGAGGAAACTCTTCAGAGCCGGAAGTCAATGTTCTCAACTGGGGGAGCGAAGCAGGACGATGAGTCAACCTGACAACAATGTAATTTCATCCACTTGTAATTCATCACATCTGAGTAAACACTTTTAGGATTAATCTGGATCTTTAAAGAGAAGAATCAAGCATGGAGACAAATCCTTTTCCAACACACATAGATACAGACATTTATAAAAACTTCACAGTCATCAGGCCAGGAATTTGTTATCATTTGTTTTCTGTTAGCCACGAAAACCAACAGAGAAATCATTGTAAAATTATTTCATGAAAATACCTTTCTGTCCCAACAGACCATAATACTTCTGATTGGAAGAAAAGCAAAATCAGGCAATATACCTAGATCTCTCCCTCTCTACTGAAGAAAGAATAACCCAAAGAAAAAGTTGGCAGCAATTCCTCCAAATTATGAATCTTCATGATAATCTTGGGCCAAACAAACAAAAAGCCGATGGTAACTGGGATTTAACAAAAGAACAGACCATTTTAAATTCCTCTGATGCCTTCTCTGCAAGACTCAGAGCAACAGCCACTAACGGAAGTGACGGGGCAGCAAACACTACAACTGTTTTTGTTTCTTAGAGGAAAACTTGCACAAACACTACTTCACACCAAATTCACAAGTCAAAAAGTAACTTTAAACCAGATGGCAAGGGAAGGAAAAGGAGAGTGAAGAAATCACAGGATCCTCAATTCATCCAAACAAGCACTTCCCAGGTCTCCTGAAACAGAGCAACAGAGAATGAGGGGCTATCCAGATAAAAGTGATGTTTTGCCATTTAAACTTTTTTTAGTGGTAAAAAACCAGCCCCTTCATGAAGAAAGATATCAACTTGCCCGTTTGCCTCTCCTTTATATATTTTG